CTCTCTCAAAATAAATAAACTTAAAAAAAATTTTTTTTAATTAAATATGGAACTTCCCTAGGATCCAGTAATTCCCCTGCTGGGTATTTTCCCAAAGGAAACAAAATTACTAATTTAAAAAGATACACGCACCCCGATGTGTATTGCAGCATTATTTACAATGGCCAAGATATGGAAGCAACCCAAGTGCCCATCAACCAATGAATGGATAAAGAAGATGTGGCATATATATACCGTGGAGTGTTACTCAGCCACAAAAAAGGAATGGAATGTTGCCGTTTGCAACAACATGGATGGACCTAGAGGGCATTATGCTACGTGAAATAAGTCAGAGAAGGACAAATACTGGATGATTTCACTTATACCTAGGGTCTAAAAACCAAAACAAATGAATAAACAAGCAAAAAAGCAGAAACAGACCCATAAATACAGAGAACAAGCTGATGGTTGACGGAGGGGCGGGGAAGGGGGGATGGGCAAACATGGGTGACCAGGAGTAGGGGTTACTGGCTTCCACTTATGGAATGAGTGAGTCCTGGGGATAAAAGGCACAGCATAGGGAATGTAGTGAATGGCGTTGTAACAGCGTTGTACGGTGACGGAAAGCGGCTACGCTTGTGGTCTCATAGCACCAGGTAGGGAGTTGGTGAATCGCTGTGTTGTATACCTGAGGCTAATGTAACATCGTGTGCCAGTGATACTTCCGTAGAAAAAAAATCAGATACGAAATAAAAAGGGAAGTAACAAAAGAAAACACGAATAAACCTTTACGTGATACGCATTTTTAAAAATCAAAACCGGAAAAATAAAGAAAGCAGGCCTGACAGTTTTGCCTGTCCAAAGGCAAAGTGGGCTTCCGCAGAGGGGGTGAGCTTCCCATCGCTGGAGGCAACTAAGCAGAGGACGGTACCCACCTGTCAAGAATGCTGTAGATTCCTGCGTTAGGTGGGACTGTGACCAACTGCTCTGTGAATTCTGAGCCCCTGTGGAATTATGTAACCCTATCATGGAGGCCCACAGAGACGCGAGTTCGTTATTTGACCCCTGAGCCCCCAGGTTCTTCTGGGCTGAGCATGGGCAAGTCACTTGTATGAAGTCATCTCTAGATGATTACATTCCAACATCTATAATTATTGGGATACAAGTGGGTAGACTTATTCCAGGCGTAAAGGCAGGAAAAGAGATCTCAAAACCACTCTCCCAGTCCCCAGAAGCAGTTTGCAGTCAGAGACCCTCCTGCCCCTAGTCCGTGCTAGGGATGTCGGAAAGGCTCTAGGTAGCCAAGAGCTCAGAACTGTGGGGGCTGCCTCCTACAGGCATGTCATCAGGGCCCAGTCCCTCCCCACAGTTAGCCGGACGCACCCCCTTCCTAGACAGGCAGACACATCATCTTCTCTCCCAGGACCCGCTCCCAGCTGGACTTGAGGGTTTCCAGCCAGCCTCTCCCAACTTGATGTGCAGCTTCTCTCCTCCCCACGGCTCCAAAGTATGCATCTGTCTTGTGGCGCCAGTAGGGAGGCTTGTCCTCTGGTAAACTTTGCCCCATGACCCTTTCCTCCTCCAGAATGGGACATCCGGTCGGGTAGGCTGATTTCCCAGCATCTCCCAAGTACCTCGGACGCTGGCTCCATTTCCTGCCCCTCCCCAGACACCGATGGAGCAACAGGCAGATGCCTGGCCCCCACATTCTGTGGTCCTGATGCCCATTCCAGGGGAATCAGGATAGAGAGTGAGGGCACCGCTCCGGTTTGGGACAGTCCTATCACGTTCTTTAATCCTTGGAGCGGAAAATGTTTGGCATATAAGTATGTTGGAGCAGGGCCAGTCATGGGAAATTCTGTCCTTTTCTTGGGTACCGTGTGAGGTCCGCTCCTTCGTGCGTGTTCAGCAAATATGATTTGAGTGCCTACTATGTGCCCAGCACAGCACTAGGCAAGAGAATAGATTTAACCACAAAACAGAGACGGGGTCCTTGCCCTTGAGCACACAGCCTCAGGGTGGGGAAAATTAGCCACTAAGCTTATCCCTGGAGCAGTGTGTCTCAGATGTTACTCTGCTTGGAGATCTAGGTCAAATTCAGTAGGTCTGGGTGGGTCTGAGATGGTGCACACCTGTAAGCTCCCAGGTGATGCTGATGCCGCGGGTCCCCCAGGTCACGGAGAGCAGCCTGTGTAGTTACCTGCTTGAGGGCAGGCGGGAAGCAGGGCAGACTCCGTCTGGTTTTGGATGCACAGTGGGCAGGATGACAGAGAACTTTCGGAAGGAATCCTAGGATGTCTTTCTCCCTCGCGCCGAGACCTCTTGTCCAGAGACCAGGGCCCCGGCGGCCTTTGCTTTTACCTGGGAGACCCCTGGACAGGTGCCAGGACCAGGGTGTCCACTGCGGAGAGAAAACCGGCTTTGGCGGGGGGGGGGGGGGGGGGGGGGGGGGTGGTGGTTCTCCTTCACCTGGCTGCAGAGGAGGGCCGGGATGTTTTGCTCAGTGGCGTCCTCTTGTCTTTGCAGACTGTGCCGGGTGCAAGGAGGAGATCAAGCACGGCCAGTCGCTCCTGGCGCTGGACAAGCAGTGGCACGTCAGCTGCTTCAAATGCCAGACCTGCAGCGTCATCCTCACGGGGGAGTACATCAGCAAGTGGGTGTCTCCCCCCTCCCCGCCCCAGCTTCCGCGCCCCCCCCCCATCCTTCCAGCCTGCCCCCTGCGGCCTTTGCCCGGGTCTCCAGTAGCGCCTCCCTCCGCTTGCATCCAGCCACCACACGGCCACAGCCGCAAACAGCATCTCCCCGACCCTTGGGCCCTTCCGTGGTGTTTCCTCCGCCCGCGATGCTCTCCTCCCTCCCTGACGTGCTTGCGCCTCCCCTCCCGCTGGTCTTGCGTCCCACACTGTCTCTTCAGAGGTGGTCTCATGCCCTCCGTGCCCTGTTTGTGTCCTTCACACGGGCTAACACGGTCTGCAGTTATCCATTTATCCATGTCAACTCTTTAATAATGATACTAATATCAGCTACCACGTATGGAGCTTTTATCGTGTCCCAAGAATACACTAATGGCTGTGTACGGGTTATCACATTAAATCCCACAACTACCCCCATGAGGCGTCCAGCCCCATTTTCAAAGCTGTGAAAACTGAGGCTTGGGGAAGCAAGTAACTTGCTCCATGATTAAATTGAATGTCTGTCCTCACCAAGGCAGGGACTTTGTTTCAGCCACGGCTGCCTTTTTAGCACAGTGCCCGACCCCCCCCGGCCAATGATACAGTTGTTGAATGAATTTAATCCATGAGATGAGATACAACGGACACACGAAGCTATCAGGAAAGAGGGCCCGACCCCCAGTGCCTGCGCCGTGTGGCACCAGTCCCCTGGCCACTAGACCCTAGCGACAGCGTTTACATACTCAAGTACCTACAAGAAATCGTGGCCGCAGACCCTGATGGCTTTGATGCTCTGTGACCCAGACCCTTCTGAGGTGCCATTGTGACCCACTGCTAGGACATAGTGAGCACGTAAAGTTGTAGCACGTATGGTTTTTGCTGTCAAGAGAGTGATAATCCAATAAGGGAGATAAACTACATACATAAAGAATTATGACATCAGCAGTTATGTGATAGGGAGCTCAAGAGTTTTGTTGTTGAAGACCCTTCAGATCATAAGTGACAGAAAACCCAATTCGAACTCATTTAAAGCAAAAATGAGAGTTTATTGACTCAGAAATGGGAAAGCCAGAGGCATACTGACTTCGGCGTGGCCGAATCCAGGGACTTAAAGATGTCGTTGGCTCTTTAGAAGTGCCCCTCTCCCCCACCTCTCTCTGCCCCACCCCTCTCCCAACTCCAGCTTCTTCCGTGTTGGATTTATTCTCAAACAGGCGCTCCCCAAAGGGTAGCAAAGGTAATCACCAGCCACTCCAGGCTTTCCTTCTCCCAGCTTAGCCGGGCCAGCAGAGAGAAAGAGGCCTCCTTCCCAAGGATTCCAGCGGAAGTCCCATGGTTGCCCCTGATTTGGCCACCCTTAGGTCACATACCCATTCCTGAGCAATCGCTGGCCAGGAGGATGTGAACCCTAGAGCCAGAGACCAGCCCTCCGTGACCCACAGTGACTGTGAGGGGCAAGGGGTGGCCCCCAAAGGAAACCCCAGGCGAGGTTCTGGGCAAAAGGGAGCACGGATGCTACCAGAGAGCCCTGTCTGCCGGAGGCCCAAGAACAGGGCTGTGAATATTCAGAGAAAGAAGGGATCACTTCGAAGGAGCAGGGAGTGAAATCTGGAGTCCGTGAGAGCTTCATGGAGGATAGTGCTATTTGAGCCAGACCTTGGAAACAGGGGTAAGAATGGAAAATGCAAAGAAGGAAAGCTGGGAGGCAGAATGCCCGGCCTGGGCGAGGGCAGGGTGGTGCCTGACACGTCCATCTTGTTGGCCGGAGCTCAGACGCGTGCACACGTGAAGCAAGGTCCGAGGCTGCAGAGGTGAGCGGAGGTCAGGTCACCGAGAGCTTTGAGCGCCATGGTAGTAGGAGTTTGGCATCTCGCTCTGTGCTTGCCAAGTAAGAAGTGCCCTTAAGTGAGTCACCAGCCAGGAGGCCTTGGGTCTGTGCGCCCGAGTGAGAATTCTTTAGAGGCGCAGGGTTTGCCCAGAGCTCCTCTCAAGGAGGCCCAGCCCTGACTGCCCGTTGCACCTTGGGCCTCTGAAGCCTGCCCTGGGCTCTTCATTTGTCTGCTGGCAGAGTGGCAGGTGCTTAGAGGCACTGGCTGTGGCATCGATGCCCTGGTTAGAAGCCCAGCCTGCATGACCTTGGCGAGAGACTTCACTTCTCCCAGTCCCAGTTTCCTCACTTATCAAAACAGATAAGAAGACCTACCTCACTGGGTCACGCAAAGGCTCAGGTATCAGTGCTTCGTACGTAATAAGTGTCTAGTAAATATTAATTTTACCCTCTGCCTCTCTTTAGAATCACGCATATTTCAAATTCCCTAAGGCCTCCCGACCCGTGGGTCCAAATGAGGCGGGGTTGGCATTTATGCCCAAAGTTTGCTGGCTCATTTTACCCCTCTGCTGACACATGACTTTATCCCCCCTGCAGGGTCACCTCCCACACCCACGGCGTGCGGAAAGGTTGGCAGGGGTGGGAGGAGGCTTGTCTCCTGGGCCCACGAGCAGCAGTCTGACCTCTGGGCTTTTCTGGGCCTGAGTCCTCATTGCTGCCTCTCCTTCAGGGGAACACAGCCTCCCTGCCGCCCAGGGTGGGGTCACAGCAGTCCCAGCATGGCAACAACTTGGAGACAAAACAGTGACGTGCCTGTCCTTCAGGCCTCTCTGTGTGAGCCAGTTCTCTTATGCCCAGAGGTGGGGGAAATGGCCCTCTCTGGTCCTGGGTTCATTAGCACTACACAGCTGTGTCATCAGGTCTGGTCCTTAGATGCAGTGTCCTGTTGAAGTCCCCTCCCCGCACACGAAGTCCTCCCTACAGGCCGGCACAGCTGAGCCCTACACGCTGGAGCCGTCTTTCAGTCCTCATGACGACCTGGGTGAGAAACCAGACCGCCCGGCTTTGGACCCAGCTTTAGAGCATCTGCGTTGAGTTGCTGAGTTGCCTCATCCACACAATAGGGAGACTGATAGTTCTGACTTCATAGGGCGGCCGGAAGGATTAAACGAAATAATCTATGTGAAACACCTTTGGAGGGCCCGGCACACCCCACGAAATAAATGTCAGTGGCTGTTAGTAGTAGGAGGTAGTATAAGAATCATTAACAAAAATCCTATTACTGCCTGATAAGTGTTAAGCACCGGGTGAAAACGAAACACATAGGAAGTGCTTAAGGTAGTTTCCTGTTATCTACTGACCCGGGAGGACAGTCAGATGACTCTTTCACCGCAGGTAAAATCTCTTATTAGAAGAGGAGCCCTTAAGGCTATCCACAAAAATTGACCACATCGATTCCCTCCTGGAAAGGGCTGGGAGGAGGGTGAAGGCATTCCCCTTTATGCCTTTATAATGTGCCAAGTGCAACTATCACCTATTCTAAGTACAATAAAACTTAATGCATTTTGACAATACTTTTTTCTCACAGCCCTTAGGGATAAAGAGAAGAAAGTGGGTCTGGAGAGCTTGCGGGGAGGAGGGGCGGAAGGAGGACAGAAGAGGGGCGCCCACGGCCAGCAGCCCAGACCAGTGGTTCCCAGGTGCGCTCGGGAAGCCTGCCGAGATGCAGATTCCCAGGCCCCCTTCCAGGGGTTCTCTGATTCCAGAGATCTCGGGGGGTTGGCTGGGGAGTCTGCATTTTTGACAAGCTCCCCAAGTGTTTCTAATCTTGGCCCAGTCACCAATGGCTGCGGGTCCTGGAACCTCCACGCGGCTCCCCCGCGGATCGCCACGCCCCCAACTTCCTCTCCCTGTGTGGATTTCCTCTTGCAGGGATGGTGTTCCGTACTGCGAATCTGACTACCACTCCCAGTTTGGCATCAAATGCGAGACCTGTGACCGATACATCAGCGGCAGGGTCTTAGAGGTGAGTGGGGTTCAAGGAACTGTGAAGGTGTTTGCGTAGGATGGCCCGTGACTCCAAAAAGTCATCACCGAGGCCCCCTTCTTCCCTAGCCTC